ACATTAGTTGTTGATATTGTCCCGCTTTAGACACTCCGAGCATCGTATAAGTTCTGAGGTCAAGAAAGTAATGGTTCAAACAGAAACAAAACTACCGACATATATATCTATCCGAGTAGTCTATACGTTTCTCCCACCACAATAGGCGAGTTGTTATGTGATATACATGTACCTGTAAGTCAAGCCTGACGATTGACATATATTATGACAAACCCTGGAAAATGTAGGCGTTCTATCGCTCGCACAGTTAACAAGCACCGTGATATAATTCACATTACCTTCTCTCTCAAACACTGAAGTAGTTCTTTTCATACCCGTTAGTCATTTGGGTTGACACGGACATATAAGCTTTGATTTGTAAGTAAATTGGGGGTTGTATTTTCTTGTCACGCTCTACTTATAAAACCTTATTTCAACTAACTTTGACATTAGTCATGTTTTGTCGATGTCACATTGTTTCTGCAACATGAATCCATTTATATAAATTGAGGAGCATGTGTACGATTTTATACAGGAGTAGACACTGATAATACCGCATCACAGTAAGCTAGTACACAAGGAAGTATATTGCTGTTTCAGTCTCCGCTTGACTGGAGATCATATGCAGAGCTGAACTTCCCTCTCTGAATACATATTGAGGTCACAACGACAAAGGCCCGGAATACACAGCAGCGTTAACCCATGTAAACCTGACAGGTTACGAAGATTATACTGAGAACGTAATTGTGCCAATAGAGATTAACCCAATCCTGCATATGCGATCGCATGAGGAATGTTGCATGACTGTGGATTCTGATTATTTGTGTCGGAGCCCCAGTCCAGAGCCTGACGAAAAGAACATTATTTACACCGAATGTACCGCGATATGTACAGTAAGCGAGGGCACAAAACCTAATGCTTGCCCGAGTTTCTCGTCAACATACCATCATGAAAATTGTAGTAACTAAATGTAAGATTCAGACTGTTGACGATAATTGACTGTAGCACCCTGCATACAACATGCCATTATACCGCCGATACAGGTATGTGAAAGGGAAAAAATACTACTTCATGAAATAATAGTGTCAACACGTTTCACGAAAAACTGTTATCTGTTTTGTCGAATTCTTGTTTGATTATTTCGAAATGCTTTTTAATTGCTTGGATGGAAAATGTTGAATAGGTGTTAGTACTCGGGAACGACACCTATCTCCGTTTCAGGTAACATTAACTTGTTTCCATGGAAACCTTGGGAAACGAATTTTGGAAAGTTCTTAATTTACAAAAGGTACCACTTCAGCCCCTGATTAAAACATCTACCAAACTCGGATGAAATATATTTCGCGGTTTTCAAGTTATGCTGCAGAAACGAAACACCGACGAACGGGCGGACGGACAGAAAGACAGACCAGTTGATAACTGTATCCCCCCGCATTATATGAAGGGGGTGGGGTAGGGTGTTAAAAATGTACACTATAAACGACTGAGTGACTAAAATAATGATGATTGTCAACAGCATTCTGTAGTGTTCTACAATGTTATTCAGCACGTGTCTGACACTCGTGCATGAAGATTGTTGTACCCATTCTTGATAGGTGCGATAGGACGTTCACGAATATGTAGTTGAGGGGGAATAAGGAACAATTTTGTAATAATTTTGGTTCACAGGCCAAACCTAAACCTGTTGCAAATCTGATTGCACATGAGTGTGAAAATATGCCCTGACATGGGCATTGTTGACATTACGATCTAAGGTAATGGTAATTCAAGTTCATAGATGTCAGCACGCAAAACTTCTGCACGAAACAATAGACTGGGGCGTTTGATAGTAAGGAAGCATACACGTTTATGATCTATATCAGAACTCGGGATATCTGTACAAGGACATCTGTGTATCATCTATTGCCATCGGTTCTGTGACCACTTTCATTCATTTACATTCATATCATAGTTGAATGAGTGAATCCAGTGAATAGTTTCATTCCGAAAGTGAGTTAGGTTTAACCCTGCTTTTGAAAAATATTTCAAACACATCACGTCCCGTCAGCTTAATGTCACTCCGCCATGTTACTTAGTTTCACATGCAAAAGTTTCGTTGTTGATTCCCAATTAAGTTCCAATTGTATCACTTTCCATTGATATATGTTTGCAGTGACTGGCGCAGCCTTACTTCTATTGTAAGATACGAAACATTGTACTTCATTTTCGGGACATATTTACATATTGAATGGAGACCAGCGATACAACTTCCGTCGTCTGGAAGCTTCTATCATACATTTACTCACATGCATTCATTTAATACATGTTTAACCCAGATAAATATCATGCTTGTGGCTCGATGTATAAGAGCATGAAAAGGCTAAAGGATCAATTCTCCATATGACGATTGTGTACTATCCGGGTTCGCTGCTGTCCTGTGATTGTTGTTGACACAAGTATATTAGGAGCAGGATAAGTAAAATCATGATTCAGTCAAAAATGTGTATAGATGTGTTGTTTGTTGTAAATCGGTTGTTGGAGGAAGTTAGCCGTCTGGTGCTCATGGTAATAGTTCATGGACTGAAACACGTCCGGGAGACGGCGCCCATGCATATGCTGATCTCACCGAAATTCTGATTTACGAATTACTTTCCCCTCTCGTTTTGTTATTGAAACAAATATATTTAGTCATCCGTAATATTAGTTTTTATTAAATGTGAATTTGTTGTACAACAATTTTGTTACAGAATATTTTGATAACTAAGCAGATTTCTGACACGTTCAAGATGTATTTGGACCGCCTCCGGGGTCTAGTCGTAGAGCGTCCGCCAACAGAGCGGAAGGTCCGGGTTTTGATCCCCGCTCGCGCCTTACCAAACGCCGTTAAAAAAAGGTACGTGTTGTTACCCTGTCTGGCGCTCGACATTAAGGGGCCAAAACAAGGACTGGTCAGCTCGGAGTCACTGTAAACTGCACTGAGTGGGTTATTCATGTTAAACTGCGGCATGGTATCTCAGTGAGCTGGCACTATACATCGGCATCAGTCTGAACTAGAACAAGCAGCCACACGTTACACCCGATTTCACCTCAACTCAAGATGTATTTGTCAGATATGTGCAATGTAAATAGATACAAAAAGGAAGCAAACGTATAGATTTACAAAAAAAGTTAAAAATTGTGAACATGTGTAACTAAACTCTTAAAAAAATAGCGGATCATGAAATTCAAATATTAATTCCTCGTAAAACAAATATATGTGTTGACCACACACATCCTATGCAAAAACGTTTATGTCTGTAAAACCTAACACCAAACACACATTTTATAGTACCTCAAGCAGAAGCGCTACACATCTGCGCAGGGTGCCATTCCTGGTTTTGACCTTTTCAAGTTAGGTGTTATAATCTCAGTGGACCATTATATCTGTCAGTCGTATTGATTCTGCTTATCATACAGATGTCATTTAACTGATTTCATTCATTCTTTGTGTATGAACTAGCGATGCGTCGTCTGCAACGCTGAAGTATCTACGGGCTTTTGGAATGCGGATCGCTGGCAGTATACGTAGTTAGCCTGCAGTGGCCAATACGTTCAATGTTTCACAACCTGTGATTAGCATACTATGGAAAAGGCACCAATCAACCAAAATGATCAGGGCGTCCCAGATCCCAAGCAAACACAAAACCAAGTTCTACGAAATCGAGCTCAAACGGCGAATAAATTGCTGCACACTTTCATCAGGCTACTGGAGTACGAGTAGCGGTTCACACGATATAGATATCGCCTACATGCAGCTTATCTCGACGGCCTCGTGTTGTACCACGCCATATTGTAAATCGCCATATTGCCAAAAGACGACAAAGGTGTACGCGACGTCGAAACTCGGGTAATAGTCACTGGTCACGTGTCATGTTTTCAGATGAGTCCCAATTTATTTAGCACATCCTTCATGGGTCTGGTCGTGTCTGGTGACGTCAAAATAAACCTCAATCCTAAGTCACCTGAGACCTCATGACAGATTTGGCGGTGGATCGGTTATGGTGTCGGGCGTCTTCACTGTAACTGAATGAATCACACTCCAAATTGGGCAAGAAAGGGTCACTGGACAGCACTATTAGCAGTGACACCCTTTGTTGTCCCGTTTACAAGGCGTGTGGGTCGACGTTTAGTCGTTCAGGACGACAGCGTCCATGCTCACTGTGCAGGAATTGTCAATGCTCACCTCCAGCATAACACTATCCATAGAATGCCATGGCTAGCAATCAGCCAAGAGTGAGTGAGTGAGTTGGATTTAACGCTGTTTTTAACAGTATTACAGTTATATCACGGTGTGTCAGCTTAATGTCGAAGGATGCAGGTCTCAGACGTTTACCGCTTCGCTGAAACCAGTGAGCACGGGTATGCTGCTGACAAAACTAGAAACATATTCGGGGCGAACCGGGATTCGAACCCACAATTATAGGTTTCTGGCGTGCCCAAGGGACGCATTTCTGCACAGCCAATCGCGGCGCCTTAGACGACTGGGCCACCCGTGCCCCCTCAATGAGCCCAGACCTTTTCCCGATTGAACAGACCATGGTGTAGTTGAAGAACGGAAGGTCTGGGGTTCGATACCCGGCTGCGTCATACAAAAAAACGTCCGATGGTATATGTTGTTAACCTGCCAGCGCTCGGCATTAAGGGGCAAAAGGATTGGTCGGCTCGGAGTCAGTATATTGTGTCTAAGTCGGGTTTTCATATTAAACTGCGGCATGGTATCTCTGTGGGCCAGCACTTTAAGATCGGCATTTACCGGACAAGTACAAACAGACACACGCATGCACGCACGCAAAAATCTTGGACGCGACGTTAACCCCATTTCACCTCACCTCATCAGTTGAACACGTCGGGACGTGTGCGTCAACATCATTAGCAGCCGACGGTATATTACGTACTACACATCCAAAAACATCAACTTTGCAATTTCCCATCTTATTCCTATCGTTCTTCACGATAGTTGACGTCAACACTATACAGTTGTATACAAACATGTAAGCAATGAATATAATTAATGAAATTTTATTGACTAAAGTGAAGGGAAGAAAACAAATAAACAAATTGAAATGAATAAATGCTGTGTTACAGAAAAGCATATTCAATATATCATACTTCATATTTAAAGGAAATATTGTATTTCTTGTAACTTAAAACAAGAGTTTATTAAAGCAACATAGAAAAAAGGATATTGCAGATACATCGATCTCTACATGCTATTTGAACAGATCATTTCATAAACGGTAAACTAGATAACAAACACACAGATCACAAGCAGATGTTTTCAAATATTCAACACAGTTTACTTGTTACCCATATTTCTATAAATATTTCATTTCTTGTAGAACAAATAAAAACAAAAGTTTATAAAAGCAGCTAGGCTGGATCAGACAAACCAATGCTAGCATGAGCAGCAGCATTAAGGGGCTTAAACAAGGACTGGTCGGCTCGGAGTCTTGTCAGTTTAACGGATTCATGTTGAACTGTGGCATGGTATCTCTGTGAGCTAGCACTATAAATCGGCATCAGTCCGGACTAGTACAAGCAGCCACACAAACACACACACGTACATATGCACGTCGCTATATAAGTGCAATAATCTTGGACGCGACATTAAACCCCATTTCACCTCACCTCACCTCTTACTCAGGGTCCCCAATAGGATGATACAAAATCTATTGACATTTAAACAATTTTCATGAAAAACAACATCTAAGATGTCAGTGCCCGACAATGTTTCGCCCATCTATTGTAGAATTGTATTTAAAATTGTAAGCAATATATATATTTAATAACTGTTTTTATTGTTTAAAGCGAAGAGATCAAAACAAAATATACAAATTCAAATAATAAATAGTGCTGGTTACAGAAAAGGATATTAAATAAATTAAAGTCTATAATTGTAAATGTAAGTAAATGAATTAAAAAAAGAGTTTATATAAGCACCATATAAAAAGAGGATATTGCATTTACACATATACATGACCACTGGGTCCAATCACGGCCAGTACAGAATCTCCTTCACGGGTTATATTAACAGATCATAACACAGATGCTAACCAGCTGACAAACTCTTTCAGATCACGAGCAGTTCTCGCGAATGTTTAAGATCTTCCAGATAGCAGGTCTTTCACTGAGAATCGGGAAGAAAGGGTAAAAGTATACAAAAATACACAGGCATCACCTTTATTGTTTTAGTGGAATGTCCATGTATATGTCCATGACTGTACGATTTTATTACGTACATGCTTTATGACGCACTTGCATGACAGACGTGCGTCTGCATACATCAGCAAGCTATCATCTAGTCAATATTAACATTGTAAGGATGCACTCTGGGTATACTACAATAAGTAAACTATTCAGAAGCAATAATTATGTGACATTCATATTTGCCTCAGGTGCTGCATAAGTAGACGATGCATACGCTTCTGTGTAATTAAGAAGTTTATACTTTCACGTAACCCACTGCAAGTGTATATTATCAGTATATAAATATGATGCTTGTCGAAACATAATGTGAAAACAACATATATATTTTGTAGGGCGGGCACAGCACGAAGCCTATATAACCGCGACAGCACTGGATATCCCTGCCTTCGTTTCCCACCTGTAACGGTAGTTTCACCTTACGATTACCACAAATTGAATTGAAGACTACAAATTCGTATATGATACACGCATCACATATAAGGCTACAGGTGTTGAGTGTAAAGCGAAGGAAACACATACAGAGACAACAAGGTGAAATGACATAGGTGTTGGAAAGGTTCATAAGGTGTGGTAATAAGTTCAGATATTGGCACAGTTGATGTAATGTGGTCCTTTGGGATTGTTTGGTGTTAAGTTCAGATGTTGGCGTAGGTATTAGCTGGGTCTGTCCTCAGAATACACTGCTGCGCAAAGTCGTGGAACATCTGCACATCGCTCTGAAAAATGAAAACACATTCATATTACTGAAAGAGTATTCATGAGAGACTCAACATTTAGCTAACCATATTTTGTGTTTATGATGTTTTATATTCCATTATTAATGGTCACATTCTATCTTTTATTAGACAACTGATAGTGTTGTACGTTGTCGCGGGAACCAACAACCCTGATAAGCTCGTACAGGTGTCACGGTTATGACATCGCGATCGGTATACAACTCACTGTTTATGGGCTACCGCAGGGTCTGAGTCAGGGGTAAGCATCAATACAATATCCGTTACTGGCCACAGACGTTCTCAAAGTTTTATAACAGTCTACAAGCCCAGTTTTAAAAACTTGTGACTAGTTCTGGTCAACAGCTGACGTTGATCTGCCGGCTACGGTTCAAACTCCCACACAGCTGCAGCCCAACCAATTGCTGCTGGCAATTTCTACGGTGTACTGTTTCGGGACTACATGTGCTACATAATGCTACAATTTCACTTCAGTATCAATAATGACAGTAGTGAGTGATGACTGAGACCAGTCTTCTGAATCCGGCCGCTTCTTGATGTCTATTCTGATTTCCTTATGTAAGCTTTGATTGTTTGTTGTTTAACGCCGCACTCAGCATTATTCCAGCTATATGGAGGCATTATGTAAATAATTGAGCCTTGACCAGGTCAAGTGATTGATATCATTCGCATCGATCCACGCAACTGGGATAGGATGACATGCATCAACCAAGACAGCAAAGCTGATCACTCGATCATATAATATACCCAATATAATGCCAAGACATATTAAATTAAATGTTATTTAAAAATAGAATTCATCGGCAAACTGAGGAAACTCCCGTGTCCCTACCTGGGTGAACTGAAGATCTGGGCAACATTGGAGGAACGTCCTCACGTGATCGACGACGTCAACACGGGCATCCTCACGAATACCGGACAGAATATTACCCATGATGCAGAGCGAGACAGCAAGTTTTCGGTCATTGTTGCTGCAATTCAAATAGTTACATGTCATGTTTCCTGTTATATTTTGTGTCATGTATCCATAACAGTAAATGTGTTTATCACATAATGTATCGTGTTATCAATACGATAAACCAAGCATATAAACTTCGTATCACGACCCACTTTATTTACACAAGAGGTCGCCAAGCAGGAACTACTTTTGATATGCACTACAGATCGATGGCACGCCCACTTCCTCAATAAATCATAGTCAATCATTCCCAAATAAAGTATATGGAGGTTTCCGGAAGTGTGTGTATTTCTGTAACCAAATAAGTATGGGCTACACTTAGCACTATACATGGAAGTTATTTACTCTATCTGTGTATTAACATAGTTTTCAAATTTGCATCAGTGAATGAAAATATGTATTTAACTTCGATTTTTTCAAGAAAGAAAGAAAATAACAAAGAGATCTTGAACCGCATCTGCTTCAATCCTAAATAACATATATCAGGAATAGAAACATACAAATTGATTTCTTTGACTATTATACTTACAATGGGGAACATATTCGGCTAATAATCTGAATGATAATGTGTCAAATATCCTGGAGACATTCTCACCTGTGAACAACAACAACAGGGTGAGTCTGAGTTGATGTGTTTTGAAGGTCGGCGTGGTTTAACAAACGTGATGTCATGGCTTCCATTGTTAAGTGGGCGTCTGCGTTGACCATCTTCACTTGCCGGGGTCTGGCTGCCTGTGTGACACGTGTGAAATATTGCAAGATAATAGCACTCTACTGTCCGCAGACAGAATAACATTCGCTTGCATGCATATTTATTGTTTATATTGTTGTCCTATCACACATATGATGTTGTCATTGTCATGTAATCCCATAAATACTAGTGCAATTGCACTAACAGACATATTCACTGCCATGGTTGTTGATTAAAACTTGTCAAAAACTTGCATAGAAAGAATGACGTTCTGCGATGCACAGGAGATGTCATATTTTCGCCCACACCTGGTATCGTCACAACTTGACCGTGAGATTAGTCACTTACTGCACGGAATCGTACGATGGACAATTCATTCATATGATAATTGAAATAGTTTTATGGCTTTTATTTACATTTCAGGATTATTGCAAGCTCCTCAGATTTAGGTTCATGTGTATAGTTAGTTTTGTGAGCAGGGATTTACAACAACAACTGTACATTTCCGATATGATGTCTCTAAAAATACGTTAAATGTGTCCATGTACAGCTGATGTATAGCACCTTGTTTTGAGCCAGTTCATCTTGTTACTCGTAATTTCAGCTTGAAGGAGTTTCGTTATCAGGAGCCATAGGATGATGAGAAAAGAAATACTGTGACCAAAGAAAGTATTCAGTTAACAGGAGCATACTTAAAGAGACTCGCCTAATATAATTCTGTGCATTTTGTCAGTCAAGAAAAGATTGTATTGCGAACATATTTGTTCTAATACTGTAAGCTAATGACCAAGAACTCTTACTTTTGTAGCAAGCTGCAAGTTGATCATGGAGAGATCCCCCGATAAGTTGGTTTGACTCGTTGTCGTCACAGTAATCTCACCGTGCGTCTTGGACTTGCCCTCTGCTTCTACTAAGCCCGGCTAGGGAGGACATGTTGAAAACGTCAGTATTTAACACATGCATTTTTTTTAAACAAAAGGCAGACTACAGTATCATTGGTGCAGACACCTGCTTGAGGTGAACGTATTAGTAACAGGAATAAAATGCTACAGCTTTGGAATTATGGGCTATCAATCTCAAACACGATGCGTAAGCGTGAAGAACAGTCTTCCTTAACTATTTCAAAAGATTCTATGTGCATACATTTGGCGTGACGACGATGATGTTGTGGACGTTGTTCTCTTCAACCAGTTTCCACAACAACTTCACTAATCTCGGGGCTGGGGCAGCGGCTTGCAGGTACCCCCTCAGGCACGTCAGGGTCTGGAAGGAGGAATGGATATGTGTGTCATGGGTGGTAATATTAACAGGGAGTCTACCTGCTATATTGAGATGCAACAGTTTGTGTGTTTTTCCCTGCAGATGTTTCATCAGAATGTCTATCTCAAAAGTAAATTTGGTATTCTTTATTATACTTGTAAATGTGTTATTAAAACGGTTTTATGAGCAATAAAAGATATTTAACATATTGTCCACCTACCGGCCCCACACGGACAATGAAGTCAGGGTTACCATCCACCCACATTCTGTGTCGGTTAGGGGCATCTGCAAAATGTTACAGTACAAGCAGAATATCAGAGGACATAAATATGTAGTCTCATCATTCAGCATCAGGCCTAGAGAAATCTCAGTTAGCTATGATTGTCGACGACGTTATGGATGGGGAGGTTTTGGGTTATTCCATAAGCACAGTCAATAAAGAAATCTTCAATTTTCATGTTTGGTTAAACGTTTCAATCACAAGTGGTCATGCCGTATAAGGCGTTGCTGATGGTGGGTTCAAATCCAAGACCCGCCTTCATCATGTTTCTTGTTTGTCCTCACGGTACCCGTGTGTGAGGGTCTCACCAAAGTGAAAATCGTCAAAGACCTTCATCTATTCATGGTTTCCTTCACAGCGACTTTACACCTAACCAACTTAACCTTTAATTTGACGAAAACTATGCACTTTAGTATCATGCAGGGATCATGAGATGAACTCATATTCCATGCTGGTCGTAAGGCGTGAATAGGTTCAAGGTGACTTGGTACAGAATCCCCGATGACATGGGTCGCTTCTCATGCTTTCAGTCGATAGGCTGCCTGGATACCGTGATATAGCTGAACTACTGCTGACTGCAGCGTAAAGGATGTTCAGTTCACTGATCCAGGAAAATGAATTGCATGTTTTAGAACAGGGAATTTCCCAAACGTTTCTACTCTTACACACGTAGCTATGTAGCTACACGTCCACTGAAACTGAAAGCACAAGTTATGGGTCACTAGTAGACACGTTAGACTGTAAGGTGTGGATTGTGTTGTTGAAAAGAGTGCATGTTCACTTTACAGCATATTATCAACGTCAATGCATATATTTGTATCAAATTCAATGTTGGCAATCATGTGTACTTACCATCTCGGGTGTCTGACACCAGCATCTATGAAAATACAGGAAAAGGGAAAATAATTCATTCTCTCAATATAACATAAGAAATGGAAAAAGAATTGCAATTCCAAGACATGTTGAATATCACCTTCGTGTAGGAACAGAAAGGTATATATATATATATATATATTCCAAATATTTTGTAATTCAACGGACACCACGGTTGATGGCCGGACTCTCACAAGTCAGTGGTGAGGTGAGAGTGTTTGGGACCAAGAGTCTTTCCCTTGTTACTATTTTATTCACAAGTTATCACTGTGCAAAATGTCTTTGACATCCAGCAATTGTCTGGTCCAGGGGGGCACGGGTGGCCCAGTCGTCTAAGGCGCCGCGATTCGCTGTGCAGAGTTGCGTCCCTTGGACACGCCAGAAACCTATGATTGTGGGTTCGAATCCCGGTTCGCCCCAACTATGTTTCTAGGTTTGTCAGCACCATACCCGTGCTTGTGGGTTTCACCGAAATGGTGAACGTCTGAGACCTGCATCACTTCGGGCTTTCCTCCCATATCAAGCTGACACGCGGTGATATAACTGGAATACTGTTAAAAGCGGCGTAAAACCCAACTCACTCACTCATTCACTCACTCTGGTCCAGACTCGATTATGTACAGACCGCCGTCATGTAGCTGGAATATTGCTGAGTGCGGCGTTAAAGAAAAAAAACAAACACAAATAAACATACGTTTCAACACTGACCTGTGACAACTGTCTGAGAGTCCGGCCATCAACCGTGGCGTCCATGCCGCTGCTGCCATAACTGGTGGTGTAGTTGGAGACGTCCATGCTAGTGCTGCCGTATGTCGTCATCTCTACCAGACAGTGGAAGACACATTCATACTGGGCCTGTGATTGAGAAAACCACATAATGTTGTTTTACGTCGGTATGAACCGTTTCGAAAAAACTCTTACTGCATTAAATTCTTTGAACTGAAAGAACTGCCATTGCAGCTCAATTTAAGATATAGTAAATTATACTTCCGACTCACTTCCTTTTTCAGAAAACATTCTAATTGGAGTAGAACCTCGGTTCAAATGGTTTCATGACTGACACAATCAGAATATATTCTGATATAATAAACGATTTTCAGTTATCGGAATATAAACTAACTCAGAAGATCATCATGACATGATTGTTCGAGACCCTATCGTTGACGTGCAGGCAGTTTATGACGAGGTTGCGCTGGGTTATGCACATATTTTACTGCCGTTTCTTTCAGTATCTGGACGTGACAATTGTTTTCGGTAAAACACTATAAATAATATTAAATGTTTGTGACGGGTGTCACCGGCTGGGCAGGATAACCTCACCTTTTCGCGAACACCTGGTATCATCACTAATACTCACTGATAGTGATTCATGAACACATGCTCATGATCAGCATGTAGTCCGAATTCAACATTGGTCTTGAAACGGGTTTTTTGCTATATGTATATATAGCAGAACACACAACATATAAGGGGTTTATTTCAACTACTGTTCAGCCAGTAAACCCTTTTACGTACGCTTTAATCTTTAGTCGCGATTATCTTCCGAAACAGATTCCAATGGGTCTAACCCAACTAGTGATGACATCATAAAAATGGGTCAGTGAAACATACTGATGACACCAGGTGTTCTTGGAAAGGATAAGCGTGTCCTGCTCCCGCCACTCACGTGTCATACAAAGGTATGTAGTTGTTGTTTCCACTTACCGCAGTCTGTATCATGTTCTTCCTCTGTGCCCTCATCACGGACACGTACCCAAGGATATCCACCACCCCCTCCCCCCGCGCCTGGTCTATCAGGGAGTCCACGGCGATGTATGTGCCTGTACGTCCAATACCCGCACTGAAATAATCCACAATGTACATATCTGTTCCTGTACGTCAAATAACCGCACTGAAATAGTCCACAATGTACATATCTGTTCCTTCACATCAAATAACCCCACTGAAACAGTCCACAATGTACATATCTCTGCCTGTACGTCCTATACCCGCGCTGAAATAATCCACAATGTACATATCTGTTCCTTCACATCAAATAACCCCACTGAAATAATCCACAATGTACATATCTGTTCCTTCACATCAAATAACCCCACTGAAACAGTCCACAATGTACATATCTGTTCCTTCACATCAAATAACCCCACTGAAATAGTCCACAATGTACATATCTGTTCCTTCACATCAAATAACCCCACTGAAATAGTCCACAATATTCCTATTTCTGCCTGTACATCCAATACCCGCACTGCAATAGTCCACAATTTACATATATGTGTCTGTACTCTCTGAAATAGTCCATAAATATGCATGTATTTAGTTAAACTGTCAAATTTCTGAGCTCAAATCGTCAACCATATTTGTTCTATCACGTCATATGCCAGTGATGTGAACATCTTACAGTGGATACGTGTTATCCCCAACGACACTGATTCCAGATAAATTGTCTTGTTTTAACAAATTGATCAATGAATCAGCTTCACCGACAGAGTACTGATCAGCGTATTTCAAGGTCTAGAACAATGAGGTTTCAAAAATATCAATCCTTTAATTTTCGTTTGTCCAAGTCGTAATGTCAGAACATTTAACAAAATAGTATGAATGATGTAATCATCAAGAAGTGAATAAAGTAGGAATTATTTCGCAATTTCTAGTCCTATTTGTTTAAAGAATGGCTTCCCAATCTACTGTGGACAAGTAGTGGTTAGCTATCTTTGTGACTAAAGTATGTCCTACCTGCAGTGGACAAGCAGTGGTCCGTTTGTTCCTTCAACTGTCTGTCTGACCAGCCAAATGTAGCTGACGAGAGCGAGGGTGTCGGGGACACCGTGGTCAGGCCAGGATGTAAAGTGGAACTGGATAACTGACCGACTCTCTCCAGTCTGTGATAGAAGGTGTTTTATATTTCAAGATAACATGACACAAACTTCAGTCATATGTTTTACTTGCTGAGCTACCTTATCAATTCAAATTGCTGTGTGTCAATGTGAATTCAGATGTTGACTCACTCACTACTTCAGCATATTGTCCAGTTATACCACAACATAATTTAGTGAACACATGCAGTGACTGTTTTGATCCAATACTCACTGCCCTTGAAGTGACTTTCATGTGTCTCATTGTGAAGTTCGCACGGGTTTGTGTTACCTCCACCTCTACTGTGAAGAGGCCAACGTCCATTACACCATCTGCCGGCCAGTACTGCTCACATTTCACCTACGATTTGAAATAGTTGGTCTATATTGACACAATGTGCATTCCTATGATAAGACACAAATTTAAAATGAAATCTTGCACGTTTTTTTTAATGGAAACCAAGATCGTTATTGATCCATTCATATATTTTTCTCTGATGTTTTGCCTTCTTAACTGAATGTTTCATAGGATAATCGATCCGTTATTTATTTATATATCATGAAACCCTACCTTAGTCTCCTCCACCAGACCAGTCAACATGACTACAGCGCTGCAGGAATGTTCCCAGATCATCCTCCAGAAGTCGCCGACTGTCTTCTTGTTGGGGGCTAGACACATTAATTAATGGGTTATTGAAACAACGAGGATTCTATTGGCTTGATGTACAAATTTCCATTTGTTCGTTAAATCATCACAAGATTGAAATATCCCCTCAAATACTGTCTTTTCAAATGATATGCATTAGATCCAAGATCCAAGATTATTACACTTATATAGCGACGTGCATGTACGTGTATGTGTGTGGCTGCTTGTACTAGTCCGGACTGATGCCGATTTATAGTTCTAGCACACTGAGATACATGAATACCCCACACAGACACAGTATACAGGCTGCGAGCTGACCAGTCCTTGTTTTCGCCCTTTAATGCCGAGCGCCAGACAGACTAACAAGTACCATCTTTTAACGCCTTTGGGCATGACGCGGCCGGGGATCAAACCCCGGACCTTCCGCTCTCCGGCGGACGCTCTACCATAAGACCATGGAGGCGGTCAGATACACACAAAGGCAAGTGTGTACATTATAGCATTAGTAAGATGTACGGGTCACATATGTGTCAGCTATTTTATTCTATCAACAGGTTATTCAACCGTTTTCAAAAACACGACGCCACAATACATGTACTTGTATCTCACCTTGAGCTGCTATATAAGTCTTCCTCTGGTTGTAGCTCTGAAATTACAGAAACGGGGCAGATGGATAGTTTATTCCTTGCAGCCATCTTTTTTCTGTATTTGAATTGTGTATGCCGTATTAATCTCGAAACCCCGCCTTCTGAACGATTTGTTATACCAAAAGGAACATTTCTCAGTACCCCTTATCCGGGCGATTTCGCACAGATGACTATGTCCAGTGTAGACAGAATTGAAATATAACCGTGAAAAGGTTAACATGGCATGACACTAAATGAAAGAAGACGAGATAATTACAAAAGTACACACGTGCATGAGACTGGCGTTGATGTAGTCAGAGCCAGGGGTAGCTGGTAGGAGAGTCAGGCGGACACGGTTATGGTCGTCTGAAATTTAAAATAATGTCAGTTAAACTCTTGATAACCACATCTTGTATATTTTTGTAAAGTCACCAATTTCAGTTCTACTCACAGGGGTAGTAGCCTCTGAACTTGTTTTTGCCACTGTTCTCGGGTTTCTGAGAGTCTTGATATGACGCTGTGAATCCAGTCGGCAGTCGCTGTAAGTACAATACATTTCAGATATGAAATCTGATCTCGGGTAGCATGTATTGTTATGCAGTCAGATTGTGAGTCAACATAAACATCACTAACATACACGAACACACAGGACTAACATAAACAAAACACAAGGGACTTACATAAAACACAACACCCGGTACCAGCAATGTGATACAATAATACAACGGTGTTCCCCCTGTGAAGTACTATCTACGACTCACGTTATATTCTCTTTCGAATCCATCTTTCCTCTGTTTGAGCATTGCCACTGTTGCAGCTAATTCAGGCACAACGACGTCTCTGATGGCGTCTTCGGCGTCTGCGTTGTAGTAACAACTGTCAGGAGATGGAACTTCCTCATCAACGTCTTCTTCCTCCTGGTCTTTGTCTTTAGAACTAAGCTGTTTGCTTGATGCTGTGTGTGTGGCAGGTTTTGGTTTTATTGGTGGCTTCTGGTGGACTGCTTTGTTCTCATCTAGAACCACGTTACCAACAGCGCCATTCCCTACAGCAATGGAAAGCATACAGTACATGCATTATACTTTTGGTTGGGGTCTGTCTTGAAATCTCACTGTTGTAATGAAAGTTTTGAGCTTGTTTTATCACAGGACAAACAGAAGAACTGCAGCTAAGAAAAGCAAAATAAGTACGTCCCTGATCCAATACGATTTTTGTATGTACTTTACCTTGATATCCTTAAAATATAGTTTACCTGAAGCTTACATTCAAATGTTGCAAACGAGCTAAAACAACAGTCACAATTCTTACCCTAACCTCTACAAATCCTGCATTCATATAAACACATCTGAAACTTTAATAATTATTTCAAAATACTTGTTTTCATAAAACAATATATGAAATAAAACAGCCGTGTTGGACTAAATGGTTTCCTACCATGTCGTTGTAGTGTTCTCACCTTGTGCTGCAGGGTGGAACTCTGCAACGTGTTTGTTGATGTCGCCTTGGTGAAGCCTCCTCTTCCTGTGACATCAGAATGGTACGAACATAAACAAACCACACACTACTACGTAAACCTACAATCGCTACTAACATAGACACAACACATGAGACTAAAATAAACAAAACAAGCTAATAACATCAACAAAACAATCGTTACTGGCATGAACAAAGCACACAGGACTAGAAAAAAACAAAACACACGCTACTAACATAAACAGACCACACATGGCACTTACATAAATATAACACCCGGTTCTAGCATTGGCAGTGAAAACATATCTATCAAGGAAAATAAATATACGTAGTCAAAAAGATGTATGGGTTTCGAATCCCATTTACGGGATGAACCATTTACCATTGTTTAAAAGCTGAAATCTAGACCTAATTGACACTATATCCAAGTAAGGTTTGACGTTTAGTGTGTAACAGGTAGTAGTGTGCTAAGTGTAAATACATATGGCGTCACACTTAGCTGGTGTACATGATATTATCAGAAATTACCTGATGACAAGGACCACAATAATAATGAGGATAGCCGCAACAAGTAGACCTGCAACTGTTCCCGCCACAGCTGACACGGGAAACAACTGGGATGTGTTTTGTCCGTTTAGAGCAGCTGTAAATGTGTACAACATGTATCTAGTGAATTAATGTACAACCTAAAATTTCGCTTGTGGCAACATTACCCTGATACAGCAATACGAGTTGCAATTACATAATCATAGAATCAGGTTTTACGGACATGAGCTGCAGAATTATATGTGGCGGTATATAAAGAGGGCGAGGATGCAAGTGCAGTGGCAGTTGATGGGGAAGGCAACCAGTAAAGGTACCACGTGATCGGCATTGAGTTAAGAGCTTATTCATAATCTACAACGGCATCCCTCCAAAATAAATAAAAGAACTAAATAACTTTAAAACGTAGTGCCTTGTCAACGAATGGTATTATTAGAGTTTGAGAAATTTGTTTCAGTGAGAAAACGTTGTGTTTTCAATTTGCCATAAAACAATAATTATTAGGAAGGTACCGTGTGCTCATCTGCATATATCTTGTTATTAACAAAGGTAGAGCCTTGGTAAATCGAAAAAAGTATAACATTGCTCACACAACGCGCTTATGGGTAATGGTCTAAGTGGTCTCTTTATACCTATACTCCCAATAATAAACCTTAATACTCGCAGTTGTGTTTGTTTGTTGTTTAACGCCGCTATATTTCAGCTATATGACGGCGGTGTGTAAATGATCGAGTCTGATATCATGGGTATCGATCCACGCAACTGGGAAACGATGACATGCATCGAGCCTGACCACCCGATCCCGTTAGTCATCTCTTAGGACAACCATACTTTTTTTATTACATTAATCAGTTGTCAATAAAAGGGATGCATTTAATACGACGTTTGAGAGATAGATATCTTTGAAATAATTATTATGAAAACAAACCTTTTTCGCATCACAAACATGTATCACTGACAGAAACAACAGCAGGTATCTGGTATAAAAATTGTGTTATTTTCAATGTTTATTGAAGAGGAGCTTTCTATACGACAATATTAATTTCTTTATATAAAGACAAGGATGCCGGAGACAAAATACATCTTTTAAATTAAAGGGACCAGTTGGTCGTTATACGTACGTCACATTTAGCTGAACGTTTATTATAAGATAAACATAATTGTCATTATTTTGGACAATAATAGAGTTGTCATCATTCCCTTTGTGAACATACAAACACGAAATACTGTTTTCGAGTCACATTGCCGTCAACATATGATATTATTCATGTTCAATAGTTGCGTCCCATGCACCTCGGAAACTAGGTCAGAGCAAATGTGGGGCAGAAAGAAAGAAACGGTCGCCGATACGCTGTGAGGAATGATGAAAGATGTACGAAGAAGCGAACGTAAAATATTATTTTCCCTGCGTATCCTGCAGCGTCTTTGTGTTCACTTTATGCTGCATGCATGTGCGTTCGACTATGTGGTACCTTTATGATACCTTTAAACAATTTCAATTTTAAATGCTTTAATGGACAGATTTCATAATAATTACAGTCCATACGTAACAATTATATCTAATTTCACTCACACAGGATATGAACAACATCATACGTATTTTAACATGTTTTATTTTAGCTGATACCTCCTAAGGGGTGATCTACCATGTGGTCCCATTACCGTAGCCTTCCCCTTATATTGAGAGGCCGAGGATGCAGATGAAGCTTCACTTATGCTTTTACGTGGAATAGTTGAGTCTTATCACATCCTTAATCATCAAACTACTACGTGGAGATACATATATACAATGATTGCTATTGCTGACAGGTACAAAGCGTCACAATGTCGAATATTGTATTGCATATCTTATAATAAGTAATGCATGATTCATAACACACAGACTAACATTTACGCAACAAGTAGTATAAGGACTATCATTGATTCCTGGTGCCCCATTTACAGATACCTAAGGGTCAGACCTTATGTGAGCTGTATGAGATAACTTACCAAGCTTCACTGAGCAGTGAGAACCATTGTATCCCTTAGTACATCCCCAGCGACATCTTCCATCAACAGAATCACATGTCCCGTTACAGTGGCCGCAGTCTCTCTCACAGTTCTCTCCGTACGTCCCATTGTCACACTCTAAAATCGAAAACGACGAACAGTTCTTTGCAATGCAGTTGCATAATACAATAACATAACACATTACTCACACGTGTGGATCTGACATTCCAAACCTTTATTTTATGTGGTTTGGGGTTCTACCAGGCGTTCCTACTTTGCTTCCAGAGCAACAGGCAAACACGATAGATCATATTTGTTTTGATATCATTATATGGTTAAATTTAGGCTAAGTGCAGTTGTTGCAATTAGATTGTTCACACTCACCTGTCTGACACAGGGGAAGTTCCCACCCTGCCTGACATCCACCTGGACAGGTTCCAGAGACGTGATGACATGTGTTGGTCTCCGAACAATGGCCGCAGGTGGATTCACAGTTTCTGCCATATGATCCATTGGAGCACTCTGTTTGGAATAGCACAGAGCAGATAGTAGCCCTATCCTAACACATCAACACCGAGGGATCGATCAGTTAATATTCAGGCAGGGGGAAAGGGGGACTGGGATTTATGTAAGAATCAGGACATATTTTCCGTCACTGCCTTAAAGCATATGTTTGTGAAGTGAGGATCAGACATTATTATTTTCATAACTCATTTTTTTACAAAACATCCAGCATGCCAAACGTACAACTTATGTTTGTGCTAGAAATTCTGGGAATAGTTTATGTTTTTGCTGGAACAAGTTATTCTGTGTAAAATATGGCTGGCCCCTTATATACACGCTGAATGTCAAATCAGGTCACTTTACAAACAAAGTACCTGGAGGCTCATATTTTTAAATTCGAAACTTGTTTCCTTGCCCCAACAAGATTCAAACAAATGCCCATGCATTTGATATGTGACATAGTGATTTATACATAAAATGTTCAGAGCTTTCATGCATCTAAAATGGACCATTCAATTTCTAAGTAGTCGGGTTTTCAGGGAAGTTGTTCATACCCTCTATACCAGCAGAAACAGCTACAGCTGCAGATTTTAGCCTTCACTTTCTTACTTTCACTTTCCCATGCTTGTCGTAAGAGGCAACTAATTGGATCGGGTAGTCAGGCTCGCTGACTTTGTTGATGCATGTCATCGTATCCCAATAGCTAAAAGCAGAGACGATTGTACCATTCCGAAAATATCATGAAGCCACGAACTTTTTGTGGAAAAAGGTATTGCCAATATCTTTGCCGAAGTGCCTTCAAACACTTTTGAAAAGGTTACCGACTACCGCAGTATTATTGTTGATTTTCTATCCTCATCTTGTGAAAATTACAGTTGAGATGTACTTTTTCTGTTTAGTGCTTGGATTATGATAGATGGCAGAAGAATTACTTGTATATATGATATATGTATGTCACATTGTTGTCAGAAAATTGAATGTTACCGTGTGTGCAGTCCTGCAGTGTCCATCCCGCATCACATCCAGTACTACATTCTCCATCACCAAGACAGGTCTTACTAGTACAATGTCTATCAGCACATTTCAGAGAGCAGTTATTTCCATAAAATCCATCAGCACAGTCTAAAAGAAAATGGGCATATCAAACTCTTTACGTTCAATTGTTTTGGAATTCAAGTGGTATTAGTGTACCCTGAATTCTATGATTCCTTATTAATATATATTTTTAACAATATATTGGAACCTAGCTTCTTAGAGTTTCATCTGCGCCCAAATAACCTTCATGCATCATCATCCTTTAAGTGGAGGGAAAAGAAGTTGAACCATTTTGAAGCATTTTTGGGGATTCCTGGCTGAATATTGGTAATTTAAAATGGGAAATAAGTGTTGCCATGCACTTACAACCTGTGCAGAATAACACTGTGGCTATAGATACGAATTAGACATATTCATTGTTTGGATTTTAGTCCAGATAAAGTAAATGATATAGCCTTACATTTGTTCCTTTCACGGAAATATTCTGCCTAAATGATATACTACTGACAAGACTGTTACACAACATTTTTTTTAGGTCTGAAGAACGTCCAGTTTACACTGTCAAAATAATGGTGCTTTTAACCTACTTCTAGTGCAGTCTATCTCTGTCCACCCATCTTCACACCCATCAGGACACCGACCTGTCTCTCTGTCACATGAAGAGGGGCGTGTCTTACAGTGTCGATAACTGCATTCACTGGCACAGTTAGGGCCGTACATCCCCGAGGTACATGCTGCATCAGGTAGGAGTGAAATGTACGTATGAAGATTGTATAAACTTATAAAGACTTTCACACATTTGACCATTCAGTAATCAAAAAGTCATTAAAAGTATGAATTAAGAACCGGAAAATGCACCCTTACACGGATTCTCACTCAGATTGACAAATAACTGTTTTTGCACCACCAAGAAATTGCTTCATAGCATATGTTACTTGAATATCAGCTGATAACATTTTTTTTTATACCTTGGAAATATTCAGATAGTCATGAACTTCTTTCCCATATGACAGCAGGCACTTATGAAGTGCATTAAGTTAATCAATCACAAGAGAATAAACATACGTTGCATACAGTCCTCTCCCTTGTAACCACTTTCACAACCATCAGAACACACCCCAGTCGTGTGATTACATGTGTCAGATGGTGTCTTACAGTGACGGCTGCGACAGGACTTGCTGCATCCTTCTCCATAACTCCGAGAATCACAGGCTGAAATTAATGATTATCTAACTTATGTGCTTCTGGCTACATTATACATTATACACCGATTTGCATATACAATGTACATCAGCTTAATGTTAATCACAAACAGAGCTCCAAAACATATGAACAATATATTGGAACTTAATTTGTGCTTCTTTAGTTTCAACCGCGCCCAAATAACCTTCAAACATGCTAATCCATTCAGTCGAACCCTTTTGAAGCATTTTGGGGGGTTCCTGGCTCAGTGATAATTTAAAATGGGAAAGAAGTGTCGCCTACAACATGCAGTGACATTTATGTATGAAGAGTGTTTACTCTTGTAAAGACTTCTAGCTTCCACATATTTGACCATCCAGTTATCAAAATGTCATTAAAAGTAAGGATTAAGAACCGAAAATTGCATCCTTACACGGATTGTCACTCATTTTGGAAAATAACTGTTTGTACCGTCCTTGAATTACTTGATATCATATGTTACTTGAATATCACCTGAAAACAGCATTTTTAGACCTCGGGAATATTCAAATATTCACGAATGTCGTTCCCATATGAAATAAGGCAATTATGAAATACATTACGTTAACTCAATCAATCGCAAGGGAATAAACATACGTTGCATACAGTCCTTTCCCTTGTAACCACTTTCACAGCCATCAGAACACACCCCAGTCGTGTGATTACATGTGTCAGATGGTGTCTTACAGTGACGGCTGCGGCAGGACTTGCTGCATCCTTCTCCATAACTCCCATGATCACAGGCTGAAATTAATGATTATCTAATTTATGTGCTTCAGGCTACATTTTATATTCTGATAGACAGCATGTATACACCATTTGCATATTCATAAGCTTTATGTCAATCACAAACAAATAAAAATATAAAAACATAGTCATATTTCTTGCTGCAAACGCAAAATTTAAAGTTGCCCTAAAATCGCTTGTTTTTGACTTTGGATGACTGTATAGAAATGACAATGAAACGAAATAAATATATGTTGTGATGTTGTTGTCTTTTGTGAAGATCAATAATATTAATTTCTTAACTTGAGTCCATGTTGTGAAACAGAAATATGTCCCCAAACTCGTTGAAAGCTGTCACAAGGACTCCCGTGCATCCAGCTCAAGAAGCAATTCTATGTCAGACGTCGTCGTCCTTTGACAATACCAATAGCGTTATCTACTTTCCTGATTAAATTAACTGTCACAGATGTATATTAGACAAAGAATCATATGTACGAAATCTAGCGTAACCCTTCCATTTACTAACATAGATGACAGGTACTATTTATTTAGATAAAAGCGTCCAGTTACAATGGTAACAATGAGTACCGCACTGTGTGCACTGTGTGGTTTCACCTTATTTCATAGCCTTTGTCTGCTGTACATGTACGAGAACTAATGGTTGGAGACACAAAAGACGTCTTACATCTGTACAAAATATGTGTTTGCTGCTCGATCATCTCTTATGTAAATGCAGTTGAAAATGTGTCATTTGACAATCATTAACAAATGGTGAAATGTACAAACCTTTGGAGCAGTCTGTCTCTGTCCACCCATCTTCACACCCAGCACTACACTGTCCGGTGTATATGTCGCATGAATAGGAGGGTGTCTTACAATGTCGGGAACTGCATTCACTGGCACAGTTAGGGCCGTACGTCCTCCCTAAGTTACATGCTGAATAGGGTATAAGTAAAACCTATTATAAAAAGTGTACAGATAACCTATGAGAAAGTTCTTATAGCCGCAGTGTGGAACATCCAGTGTAGGTAGGACGCATCAAATCCGTACTGTAACTTACATCCTTAACACAAAGTGTCCTTTTTGGAAAATAACCGTTACTGTAATATTTTGCAGATGATTTTCATTTTCATTCATCGCCTATCAATGACTTCCGTAACGGAATGTTCAAATAATTAATACATTAAATTAGTAACCATATTAAAGACGGCTTATATGAAATGCACTATAATGTGAATGCGTTAAAAATAGAAAAACGAAATAAACATACACTGCAAACAGTCATCTCCCATGGAACCACTAGCGCAGCCATAAGGACACACCCCAGTGATGTGATTACATGTGACAGATGGTGTCTTACAGTGACGGCTGCGGCAGGACTTGCTGCACCCTTCTCCATATCTCCCAGAATCACAGGCTGAAATTAATGATCAGCTAACTTCTGCTCTTCATGTATAATCGGTGTTTTTTTAACATCTTATCCTAAAAAGAATGAAAAATGTTTTTCATGGCTGTAAGCCAAAGCTCTGTCGCAGGACGGTGTACTGATTGGTATGAAGATGCAAGAACTATAGCAGGATATACTTATAGTTTATAGTCCTATGTCTCTAAATAATATCAATGTGAAACTTCAATAACAAAAGCTACCACATACAAATGTCTCAGATACATATTTAAAAACCTAATTATGCTATTTAATAAGATAATATTTAGCCCAAACAAGGATAGTTATATATTCCTGGAGATATTGATTTATCATGTTGTTTTGATTAGTGTGAGTTGTTTTAATATAGCACATCATATAGTACAGCAAGTACATGCAACATGAAGTACATCTGTCCATCAGTCAAAATTGCTGCTGGTAACTAAGGTGTTCCGTGAATGTACACAAAGAAAATAGAAAGGAATTCAAAAACCCATACTCACGATGTGAAGCCAATTGTTGACAACAGAATAGCATATTTATATATATCACTTACCAAGAGACTCTGTGTATTACTTTCATGTGTGACCAGTGCAAACGTCCACATACAATATATCTAAAATCTGATATTGAAAACCGCTTCCAGAGTGGCCAAGCTGCCACCAAACTCTAATTTTGGTGTGTAGTATAGGCGTTTATTCATATTAATATGCCCCTGTCATACTGAAAAGAAGTACCTAGACATGACTTTTTGCAAAATGTGAATTATCTGTGATCAAGTTCTGAAAATATGAAACCCGATATTGATTTTAAACGAAATGAAAAGGAACAGTGTAAGTGTATATGCAATTTATATGGTGGTAATATAGAAAAACACAGGCACAGTCGCTGAATCAGTTAAATAAAAGCAATTGAAAAAAAACTTTTCTTAATAACAGCAACAAGAGCGTTTCCATCATAAGAAATCTCTTCTAAATGTCCCATTGTACGATTCCGACTACATCAAGTAGGGATCATAGCAGGTCTTCGAGAAATAGTAAGCGTATCCCGCCCAAGTGGTTGCACCCGTCATGGATCTGATGTGTTGACTATTACCTTGAAGACAGTCTGTTCCTTGATATCCAGCCGCACACCCACCGACACACTGTCCTTGTACGTCACAGCTGGAGTCCGACTTGCAGTGAAGTGCAGCACAACTTTGGTCACAGTTGCTTCCGTAATACCCAGAAGTGCATGCTGGTAAATGAGTGAAAAACTTCGGTTGAGCGCAGCTTTGAACAAATCAGTTATATCGCGGTGTGTCTGGTTGATGTGGGAGGGAGCCCTAAGTGATGTAGGTCTCAGACATTTACCACTTTCGTCGAGCCAGTGACCCAGGGTACGGTGCTGACAGACCTAGAAATGGCTGATGATACTGCCATAGTCAGTCGAAAGTCTTACAGATATGTTGACCACAATATATACCGTAGACTCTAATGCTGTGCTGTAACCGAAAACATAAAGTGGTTACTCTGAAGAACATAAAACAAGCCTCGTAATGTTTAGATCAAAACATTTGTGTGACGTCAGACAGACAATATGTTGCTACGGTCGAGAAGCACAAGGTTTTGCCACATATACATGTACGTTGAACGTGTGGCAGCCTGGAAGTCTACATGTTGTTATTCAAATATTGGTTTCTGCAATGATGTAATTGACTATTTAACTAAAATGATTACTAGAATTCTGTTATATTGTTTTGTCGAAAATGTTCCGTAAGCTGTCCACATGTCCATCTATACCCAAATGTTTGAAAGATTATTGGAAAATATCCTCAAAATTACGTCATTGATAGGTCTAGATGTTTTGCAATGATGGAAATCTTGTCAATTGCTTTCAAAATATGAATCGGACGAACACATTTTCCTGAGACATGCCTTATATTTATGTTTATTGTTTGACATGTTGTGATCATGACTTAAGACGAAATTAACTCAAAATCAAGACTTTTGTACATTAAATTTATTTATAAAAGTGTCTAAAAATAACTATTTGCAAAATGTCAGTATTCTAGAAATGTATTTAATGATCAGTGACGTTAACCTGCTATATATCCCAGTGAGTGAGTTTGGTGTACGTCACTTTGACTGTACGGCACTGTAACATTGACCAATAACCATGATCAGGATGAATCTGGGATTCGAACTCTCGGCCACAGGGTTCTGGCACGTTTAATTGACGCAACTTGGCACAGTAAGTTGTTAATAGCAGTGAATCAGTGACGGGAGTTCCAGCCCTTTCAATTACTACCACTGGAGCAAATTGGAATAAGTGTCCGAATTCAATCAGGCGCCTTCATTTTATTGGCTCAGTCATATAAAAGTTGATCACACTCTCCGTTTTAGGTTTTAGTTTTCCCTGTTGTTCTGAAGCAATAATGTGTTGAGGAATACTAGAATATAACTTCTCATTTCCTCATACCACAAATAATATGTATGTTTCCATCAATATTCAGACCATAAATGATAATAGTAATCACTTCATGATCATGTATAAAAAAAAGACTATGTGTGGCATTCGAATATTGGAGAAAAGGTGTAATGCTAAATAGGTTTAGGTTTTTAAATGTATGTTCTTTGACATTGGTCATTGATTACGTGTTTGCCTGAAATATTGGATTTAAGATTTTCGAAGTGCGGTTTACTTTGTTTGGGTATACGTTTCCAATGCCCTACTCCACTGAACCTGCCAGATAAAATGCTTCCAAACTTTCCACGTATAGTCTCCACACGGGATACAGCAAACCGGAGCCGTTTGTGGATATCTTTTTGTGGTTGTGGCTATATTAGATTTTAATTCTGATCGATTGTTTCTCATAAATTGTACAATATAAATCATATCGTGTAAGGGTCTTTGTAGAAACTGTTGAAATTTTGCAGGAAGTTTTGATGCACATTTTCTTGTTTCACATGTTTGGTTCTTAGTTGCATGTTAAAAGTAACAATGCTTTGCGGTCATATTTCGATTCAAGATTTTCAGAGTACTTTTACTGTTGGTTTTGGCACATGGCTTCAAATTCCTGCTCCTTTGTACCTAAGAGATTATGTGGTTCCAAACTATCTACGAATTGTTTCCATACTGAATACATCAAAGCAATGGAGCTCTTTTGGGATTTTGTCTTATGGTTGCGGCTATGTTATATTTTACGGGTTTTTTCTCATCCATTATACTTTTAAAATCTTTTCTTGTAAGGTTTTTCACTTAAACTGTTGAACATTGGAAGGACGTTTTGATGCCATGTGTTTCACATTTTTTTCAATCGTTGTTGCATGCCAAAAGCCATATTAGATTCAAGATTTTCAGAGAGGATTTTACTATCTTCAAAATCTTACTCCTCTGAAATTACTGGATACAATTCCTCCATCTTGTTTTAAGAACTGTCACCACACGTGATACATCACCCTATCAGGGCCGTTTGGGGATATATTTTTTCGTTGCGGCTCCATTAGAATTTAAACTTGTTCGATATTTTGTCATAAATTTTATTTTAAAACATATATATAGTAAGGTGCTTCCAATTTGTGGATTGAGGCACAGATGTCGGAGCTCTGGGAAGTTTTCTTCAATATATACTCAACAACAAAAGCTCTTGTGACACCAATATTTTAGTGTATTTTTCAAACAAGTAAAGTTTGGTTTTCAATATCGTAGTACATGTATGGAATCAAGTCACAAAAACGCAACTGCTACAGAAAAACATCTTCCATGAAAAAGTTGACTTTTATGCAAGCCCCATGCATTTCACTACCCAAGAAAGGGTATAAACACATGTGCGTTAACGGGATTCCATATGCATTGTTTAGCATCATGCTTACAACAACCACTCAGAAAAACAACAAAATTACGCAATTATACAACATTACGAAATGCCACGCCTATCCGAAAATGAGCGTCTGCGAGCAATTGGTATGCTTGAAGCAGGATCGTGTCAACGTGATGTTGCAAGACAATTTAACGTCCACAGAAACACCATGTGCTGTTTATGGCAACGTTGGCAACAGACGAATGCAGTCAGAGACCATCCTCGGAGAGGCAGGCCACGCGTAACCAATAAAATCGACAAGACAACTGGATTCGAACAACACACCTACGAAATTGATTCCAGCCAGCAACAGTGACTGCAAGTAGCATCCCTTGCCTTCGACGGATATCTTCACAAAACGTACGTCGCCGCCTCAGATGTGCAGGGATTGTCCCCAGAAGACCCGCCAGACGTCCCATTTTGACGGGAAACCACCTTCAAGCACGTCCACAGTGGTGCAAACAGCGTCTACGCTGGACGGCCATGCAGTGGGGACAAGTTCTATTCACTGACGAGTCTCGTTTTTACCTCAGCCACAGCGATGGACGGATTCGAGTGTACCGATGTCGAGGTGAACGTTACGTCAATCATTGTGTCAGTGGAGAAGATCGGTTCGGGGACGGCAGCGTTATGGTATGGGGTGGGATTACAGCAAGCTGATTACCCGTTTGATAGTGGCAGAGGGATATCTCAACGGACGAGATCATCGACCCTGTTGTTCTACCGTTTTTGCGTCGTCATGGCCCAGGCATTACTTTTCAACATGACAACGCCCGGCCTCATATTGCTCGACTTGTTCAGGATTCTCTTCAACAAAACAACGTGAATGTCAATTCCTGGCCGGCTCGCACCTCTGATCTCTCATAAATCGAGCACATGTGGGATCAGATGGATCGGCGCCTTCGACGTCAACCACGTGTTCCACGGACACTCCAGGAACTTCGAAACATGCTGCAGCAGATATGGACAGATATCCGACAGGACTTTGTGACGAAAATGTGTTGCTTGCATCGCAACCAGAGGTGGACACACTCGCTATTGATTTGTAAATTGACATTTTGGCATGTTCAGGATTTTTTATGAAATCGCGCATTTTCTGAAGTCAGTATGGCAAATTAAACCATTTGAACACTTACAGGAGTCGTTTATCTGTTGCAAACCGAAATTGTTTCAGATTTGGTAAAAAACATAACTTTGCAATAAATTTTATTCAATGTCACAGGAACTTTTGGGGTTCAGTATATATCTTTATGATCTACCAAACGGAAATATTATCGAACTATTGAGAGCGCGAATAGGAAACTTCAGAGAGTCTTGTGTGAAGTCAAGACGCCATGTTGGATCATAAACACCATCAGAGATTTGGTCGGACACAACATAACTGAAGTAAAGAATGGTGAGCACTGTAATTTTTCTTTTAGGTATTGCTGTAGTTTCTGCCAGGTCTGCTGCAATTTTCAATCACCATGTCAGGATATGTAAGCAGTTAACGTTTAGCACGGGCTTCCCGGGAAGATGTCTAACAACTTTGAAAAGGTAAACAACAACTTCCGATAAAGTATTATCAGTTAATCCTATGATGGATGTTTTTTGCAACACAACTGATCATTCCTCTCTTGCTGCGCTGCCACATTCATATTACATACCATGTAGTACTTTCACCACATCAGAACTGGATTTGGGATCTCTGATGACCTCATATTAAGTATATATACAGCATAAATACAGCAAATGGACGGGACCAAAAAACAGTTATATTCATCTGTTTGTTATAAGCGTGTTCGTAATCAACGTAGTTTACTGTATTTACAATGGCAGTTCGCAACAGAGTGGCAGTACAAAATTCAATGGCAGTTCAAGTACAATGACAGTACAGAATACAATAGAAGTGGCCAAAGCAAAATGTCTGTGATAATAATATTGTTGTGAAAACGTGATATTTGCTTACCTATACCTGTAAACACGTTAATTTAGGGTAAGCTGAAAGTGATCTGTCTTGATGTGTATACTTACTCCACACCTGTACCTCGACAAAGTCCAACACAGCACCCTGTCCATCATTATCAGTCTCTGTGTAGACAGTCAGGTAGCGCCAGGTTCTAGGACAGGTCACATTCAGTACGTCAGGGATGTCCGTACCGTTAGGACGTCCAGTAACTTCTTTACAGAGATGCCCTTCTTTTGGGTCCGATGAATTCGTAACAGAGGTGTAGAGTTGGACGCCATTACGACGTTTTTTGACTGAAAATATATGCACCTGTATTACATAAAATCTCATTGAATGTAGCGAGTATCCTATATTAAATGCCATTACATGGAAAACTTAAATCACTTGTATTTTCTTAACCTTCCTTCCATCGGAATGGAACAGAACCTGCCATACATGTGCCTATGAAGATATAATGAAACTGATTCAGATACATTTGGACTTTGATTTTTTTATTAAGTTGTACAATATTTCTTGAAGTTTAGTTCTCCTTGTATTTTGCATATATATTGGATAATGTTCAATCGAAGCATATGTGTACTGTTTTCATAATCTTGCTTAATAGTACAATATTTCTAACAAGACGATATTAAAATTTACAAATTTAACCAGCGACAAACACTGTTTTTTAAAGTTGTGATCCCAAATAGTAGCAGGCTGGGATTTTGGCCCACATTTTAATAACTGTTCGACGGTTGATATTCACAACACTACAGAAGTCACTAATGATTACATGACCAACAGGCAGGCATCAGTACATGATGGAAGGAGAGAAATTTACATGAGTTACCCTGATCAAATATATTGCTTCCATGTTTATTATTTTTCAAGTGAAAGACATTAGATGTTAGACCTGGGCATGGGTGTACCCTTCTATAATTCGTTTGTTTTCTTTTTGTGCAATATTCTCTGATAGCATGGTTTGTACATTGGAATGTTTAACCTTGAAAATCAGTGTAAATCTCATCTTAAATTCGTAAAATTCACTAAATGTACATATCTCACTAGTTTCCCTTAATACATTATTACTGATTATTGCACTTTTTTGTAATGCAGATTTTTTTCCCCCATTTTACAGTTATTATTACACCAAAAATATTATCTTGTTAGCTAAATATCTCCTTGTACCTTTTCATTCCATTTATTCAAATATAGGGCCTATGCTTTCAGTACATCACCCCAAAACATGTTTTACGTATTATGAATTATATGTTTTGTAATATATGATTTATCTTATTTTGATAATATTGCGTATCCATAAAGTCTAACCCATAAAAAACAACTTCATTTGATTTTTGCCATTTTGCTGTCTTGAACCAAACAGTTTTCGTTTTGTCTGTTAAATACTTTTTGTATATTATGCTTCCAAGTTAGTGATGTCTCTCGGGCTCAAAATGACCAAAAACCAAGAGGACTCTTTCGTTCCTTCATATTTGCTGGATTTACCTGAGCGTAAATGACATAACCTTCTCAATGAAGCAAAGCCGCAATTGTAACGTCAGATGACAACAACCGACCAGTGGATTCACGCAAGCCTTCCCACATTCCCAGGGACGATACTTGCTACATGTAACTTTTCTGGGCATGCGCGGAACCGCATTATGCGGCATGTCGCAGATATGTTGGCCTAATGAACAAGACTATGTAACTGGATTCCCAAGTAAACATCAATCAATTGTATATAGATATACAGTGCAGTATCGACAGTGTTGAAGACTTTGGCAATTTATAACGTTCTGTGTGTTGTTGTAAAGACAATATGAGTAACAAATAAAAACAAATTGATATATTTTAGTGATGTAATTATTTTTGCATGTAAGCTACAGACTATAAGACCCATGCTTGCCGTAAAAGGCGACTATGCTTGTCGTAAAATGCGACTAATGGGATCGGGTGGTCGGGCTCGCTGCCTTGGTCAGTGCATGTCATCCATCCCAACAGCGTGGATCGATGCTCATGATATTAATGACTGGATTGTCTGGTCCAGATTCGATTATTTACAGACCGCCGTAATATAGCTGGAATATTGCTTAGTGCGGCGTTAAACAACAAACCAACCAACTATAGCCAGTTTTTGCATTGAAGGCCAATTCATTTCTGAATATCGTATATAACCTACATGTGTTTATTTCTACAAATGGACAGGGTGATCCATCCAGACAATATATAATTATCAGTTCAAGTTTCCATTCTTGTCACTAGAACCAATTTTGAAATGAATTCTAAATGTAATACCTACTTCATCGACATTTTTAATTACGTCACAGTTTGCATTGACGGTCAATATAACGACTTCGAAAAGATGCCTGTATTGTTACTTTAATCGTCATAAACCCGTAGTACAAAAAGGGTAAAAAACCTGTACATGTCAGCACTTGAGTTATGGTGATAAGACCTTTGAGTAGGCGAAGAAACCACTGATTTCAAACACGTGCCATTTCCGGAAGTATGAAAAAAAAGGTAAGAAAAGATAACTCTAATTGACTTAGATAGAAAGAGAAGCGTCCGTAAAATATTGCCTCGTAGGGGCAAGACACTCCCCTTCTGATTTCGCATGGAAATCACACACAATTGAAATGTCACATATCTTGCAGACACAAGTGGAATTAAAACAAACGAACAAGGTTCACAACTGGGCGGTTGTAAGTCACACACTTATCGTTCTTGTACACACGAATCGCGGCTTTGCGGACAAGGTTATCTTGTCCAGGAAACACTGATTCCACAACACCAAGAGGCCACTCATTCCTTGCACAATTGTCTTTCACAAGAACAACATCCCCTTCTTGCAGGTTAGGCTGGGAAATCTTCCATTTCGACCTGGTTTGAAGACTCTGCAAGTAGTCAAGTCTCGATCTTCGCCAAAACTCTTCTGCAAGTGTCTGGACATACATCCACTGAGACTTGCATATATTTTTTACATCTAGAGACAGATCAAAGTTTGGGGGTTGCCGGTTTTTTGAGTCAATAACATTGCAGGTGATAAGATCATCGGCTGATCAGGGTCAGTCGAGATGGATGTGATAGGTCGAGCATTGATGATTGCCGTCACTTCAGCCATTAGGGTCGAGAGTACTTCATGGGTTAACCGTTTTGTGTTCAGGAGCATACCATTCTCCGAGAAGTCCCAATCATTCGCTCCCATACACCTCCCATGTGAGATGAGTGAGGGGTGTTTAACAACCAAACCACACCATTGTTGTACAGGAAGTCTTGCACAGGCCCATCTTCTACATTAAATGCAGTGACATTAAGGGATTCAATAGCACCAATGAAATTTGTTCCCCTATCAGAACGGAATTGCTTGACTTCCCCTCTTAAGGCAATAAACCTTCTGAGACAGTTTATGAATGAGGAGCTTGTCATTTCTTCAATGAGGTCAATGTGTACTGCACGTATCATTAGGCAGGTAAACAATATCGCCAATCGTTTGCTGTTTGCACTACCACCTCTTGTACGACGAGTCAAAATTTCCCATGGTCTGAAAGCGTCAACACCAAAATAAGTGAATGGTGGTCATGGCACCAAGCGGTCTGGAGGCAAATCTGACATCATTTGAGTTTCTGGTTTTCGTCTGAGCGGATTGCACGTGACACACTTGCTGATAAGAGATGACACCAGTCTTTTTGCCCCAATAATCCAGTAACCTGCCGATTTCAGAGCACCTTCCGTCAGATGTCTTCCTTGATGTCTAACCCTGCTATGGTAGTGGTGTACAAAAAGTTTTGCAACATGGTTTCCCTTTGGAATGATAACGGGATTAATCTCACAAGCCGTTAGTTTGCTGTTCTTCAGTATTCCTCCTACCCTAAGAACGCCTTGTTCATCTAAAGCAGGTGAGAGGGGCAAGATTGAGCTTTTCCTCGGAAGTGGCTTCTGGTTTCGCAGACACATGATCTCCTCAGATTAAGCTTCCCTTTGGACTACTTTGACAATGAAGACCTCTGCATCCTTAAATCCTTCTACATTTCTGAAGTCTTTACACTGGTGCCAACCTTCACATGAACTGTTAGTTTTGGCGAAGGATTTTGCAATGTGTTTCAGATGTGAGATTGTCTTTACCAATCTGTACTCCATCCCACACCCAGACCTGCGACCCTCAAACCCGAATCAGCGCCCTTCATAGGAAAAGCCTCCCACATCATCAGCCGCCTCCTCAAACAGCAAGCCAAGATCGACACCCACTTCACCAGCTCCAACTCCCTCAACACCCTGTTAAGAGCCAACGGCAGGAACAAATCTAAACCCCAAGAGCCTAAAGGTGTAGTCTACAAAATTGACTGCAACTGTGGACAATCTTACATGGGTGAAACTTCCCGCCCAATCAACACCAGAATCAAAGAGCATAAAACCTCCACCATCAAATCCGACAGCAAATCAGCCATCTCGGACCATACAAGCAACTGTCCCAATCACATCATCAACTGGGACAACGTCCAAATCCTCGCCAACAACCTCCATGATTTCACTAAAAGAAAACTAACAGAAGCAGTCCACATTCGCCGCCACAAGCCATCAATCAACAGAGATCAAAGCTATTTCATCCCACCCGCCTACTATGAACGCATCAAACAATAATCACTTATCCTGTTTACTGGCTTCATGACCTTATTGGCTTCCAGCTGTGTGTTTTCTGTCCATCGTGTTGTGACAGCATCATCCCTTTGTTGTCACACCTACCAATGTTATCCGACTCATGTATACTATTGTTGTTACTGTTAATCCTCTACTGTTAATCCTCCACAAACTATATATATTCTGCACTATGTCCCCCATTCAGTCTTGCTTGACAACGGTATAAGGATCTTTACCGAAACGTCGCTTTTCACAGTATTAAAGAAGTTGTTATCCATAAAAAATTGTGTCTATCTTGTAATAGAACTTCCACTTGAATGAAGGCTTTTGCTTCGCACAGAAGCTGATTCTATCCTGTCAGTGTTTGTAAAACTTGTAATTCTAGCATTAATGTCCTTCAGTGCCATCTGCACCTTATTCAAGAGTGAATCTGCAATGTTTTGATGTGTAGCCTGTATTTGTGGACTTTCTTCAGTGCCAGTTCGTTGTAAATATGCAAAGAATTCCAAATATGTTTCCTCATACTTCCCGTATTGACAGTCAATATTTGCACGCACACTGGTTAATTGTCCTAAATCATCATGTGTTGAGCGTGAACAGGCACTCTCTGTTTGCCTTGCTGGATTTGAAAGTTTGTTGACATAATTTTGTACGTTTTCTTGATATAGTTCGTAACCTA